CCCACCCCCCCCTGCCTCCTGGGACGCTGCAGCAGGCCTTCCTCAGGACTCAACTTTCTATCACTCGGCCATTCAGCCACCCACTTACCCACGCACTCATTCACGGGCAAGTATTTCTTTTACCCCTCCTATGTGCCAGGCAGTGTACTAGGTGGTTAGGGTACAAGTATGAGGAAGGCGTGGAGATCGAAACATTTCCGGGAAATTTTCACTCAGTTCTTGAGCTGGGACCCCTGAAACTCCCAGCATAGTCACAGGCGAGTTCCTGGGCAAACCCCCAAGTCATAGGGTGCCCCTCACCCCCACCTTCCTGCAGGGCCCTCAGCCAGGGTCCCTGGTGAGGTTCTAACTGAGAAGGAGCCCTGGGAGGGACTTGGGGACTCCATCGCTTGGCCCTGAGTACCCACAGGCCCCAAGGGGTCTGGCCCACCTGAGAATGGAGTGGAGAAGCAGGGCTCCAGTCCTCAGCCCCTCTGCTGATGGAGACCAAGAACAGGACTCCCTTTGTCGAGGACCCCACCTGGCCATTTGAATGGCAGAGGGCATCTTTCTACCTCAAGGTTCCCCTGTGGAATTCTGGGTGTCCATTCAACGTACACACCTTCCCCGAATGCCTGCCTCTGTGCCAGGCACACAGTCCCCAAAGTGAGCACAGACAGACTGGAGAATATGTGGGTGTGACACACGCGTGCCCGGAACCACGTGTTTCTCTGTGTGTCAGTGCACGCGCGTGTGGGTGTGCTCGAGGGGGAGTGCGTGTGTGTGGGTTGACCCAAGCTTGAGCAGCTGCATGTGTGGGCACACTTGAGTCCGCCGGGCTGCTGAAGAGCCTGTGGTCTGCGCACGTGTGTGTGTCTTCGTACCCTCGTGTTGGCCCCCGAGCACCTGCAGATGCACCCATGCCTGTGTGTTGGGACCTGTGCTCGCCTCCTCACACAGGTGTGGGAGTGAGGAGTGCGGTGGGTGCTAGTGATGTGCGGGCACCGAGTAGCATCCCGTGCTTGGGTGTACGCGTCCCCGTGGCTCAGTGTCTCTGCTGCCGCGGTGGGACCACAGTACGTTCCTGCGGGGATCCTGTGTCTGTGGGCACGTTGGCGTGAGTGTGCGCAACCAAAGCCGCAGCGGCCAGAGTGAGAGCGCGGAGCTGTCAGCCAGGCCCACCCTTTCCGACGGCTGCCCCCCTCTAGCGGAGATCTGTCTCTCTCCTTCCCCGTGTGCAGGCCTTGTGCCCATCTGCGGCCCCAGCCACTGGGGGCCCAAACCACCTGATACTCTTGGATCTGTCCTTCACCAGCTCCACCTCTCACCTCCTCAACAATGGCTCCAAAGCCCTCCAGGCCTTCTTCCTGCCACAGGCTTTCTCCCCATCTGTCCCCTGTCGCTGTGCCTCTTCCCACCTGCTGTTCCTCTTTGAGCTGGCTGCCCCGGACATGGCCGCCCCGCATGTGTCTCCCACTGCCTTCCCGCACTGCCCTGTGACTCCGCCTCCGAGGCCCGGGCTGGTGTTCACTGCTCTCCCTCCCTGGCCCCTGCCCTCCACCCCCACCCCTTGGTCCCTTTTCTCCTTCTCTCTCTCGTTTCAGAAAAGAGGCCGGCTCTGCAGCCCCCTCGGGGACGCCCCCACCAGCTCAAATTCCGAGTGCAGAAAAGAAACCGGACCCCCCAGTGAGGCCTGCCAGGCCTCCCGGACCCTTTGTTACTCAGGAACCTCACCTTGGACGGAATGGGATGGGGGCTTCAGTGCCCGCCCACCCCCCACCTCCGCTCTGCCATTCCGGCCTGCCCTCCTTCTGGCCGGACAGAACTGGTGCTCTCCTCTCCCCCTGTCCCCCTCCCGTGGACAGGGGACCTTCCCCGCCCCCACCCCCTCCCATTTTGATGGTGTCTGTGACATGTCCTGTTGCGAAGTAAAAGAGGGACCCCTGCGTCCTGCTCCTTTCTCTTGCAGTCTGCTTGTCCGTGTGTCTGTTTTTCCACTTGTCCATCTGTCCAGTAAGCAGGTAATGGTAGAGGGTGCCCACGTTGGTCAGCTCCAGCCCCCAGCCCTCCGTCCACCCCACTTCTACTTTCTCTCCCCGCAGCTGGGCCGCTCGGCTGGCTCCGCTGGAGGCACCGCCCGGGACCCCACCACCTCCACCACCACCATGGCCTGGGCCCCCGGGGGGAGGAAGCCCAGCCAGCCTCCCGCTGCCCCTGGGGCGACCGCCCGGCCCTCAGCCCCGCCCAGACCCGCGCCCCGCCTTGTTTGCTCCCCTGCAGACAAGGACGAGTGCTCCAAGGATAACGGCGGCTGCCAGCAAGACTGCGTCAACACGTTCGGCAGCTACGAGTGTCAGTGTCGCAGCGGCTTCGTCCTCCACGACAACAAGCACGACTGCAAGGAAGGTGAGCACTACCAGGGTGGCCCACCCGGGGCCCCAGGGACTGGAGGCCGGGGCCCAGGAGGCGGGGGAGGGGGGTGCCACCGCCATCTGGCTGCGTGTAGACTCAAGGACATGAGTGGCCTCTGAGGTCACCTTGTTTGGCCTCCCACCGGGCCCACAGACTCCCCCCCCACACTTCCATCTCTCCTTGTGCCTGTCAGGAGAGGAGGGGCTCACACCTGTCCCCGATCTCCATCTTGAGACTGATCTGGTGGTTAGTTCTTAAAACCCGTGTCCCAGTCCCTCTCCCCCTAACGAGTGTCCTCTGCAGAGGCGAGATGGCACGGTGCTGCCCGGCCCAGCCCTGCCGCTTGGCCAGCTGCACGCCCCCGAGGGCCTCCGTTTGCTCCTGTGGGACGGCCGGGTAGTCACAGGCCCACCTCATCAGGGCATGGGGCTCCCAGCAAGCACAGTCGTGTATGTCAACCGTACGGGTCACACTTCTGACCCCCGGGGACACTCAGAACAGGGTCACTACCTCCCCGACACTCAAACCCTGCAGATATTTGGAAACAGCTCCGATATCCTCCGATACCCCTGTGGACATGATACAACACTGGCCTTCCATGTCGTTAATTCTATAGTGTCCGCAGCCTGCTGAGGACACACTGTGCCAGCAGCACGGCATCGACTTGGCTCTGCCACTGACTGTCTGTGTGACTTGGGCCGAGTCACTGCACCACCCTGAGCTTCAGCGTCCTCACCCGTGAGATGATAAACAATGGGACCTACCTTGCCACATGCTAAGTTTCATAGATCTCCCTCGAGCACTTAGCACAGTGCCTGGCAAATGCCTCTTCTCACTGTTATTAGGTGGACAACCAAGGGCCCAACAAATTAACTTCTGGCTAAAATAAACAGAATTGAAGCACTCAACAGTGACCCAACGGACGCTCAAGAGCTTCCAGTCCCATCAGTGCAGGCTCCCAAATATGGAGCTCCTGCCTCACAGGGCCTCCACATCTTCTAGCTGGAGGGGACCTTATTTTGAGGTTGTCCAAAGTGCACTTTCTCTCTCTGTACTGTGTAAAAAAGAGTACATCAACACCAACAGAGTAGCCGGGTTTGCACTTCTGGGCGGACAGCCTGTGCATCGTGCAGAGTCACTTTAGAAGCCTTCAGGTGCCCCACTCACACGCTAGGCGAGTTACGAGTCAGTATTTCCTGAATTCCTGCAGAGGGTGCAGTGCGGTGCAGAGTTCGGCAGGGGGCTCCAGAGGGGGGGGTCCCTCTGCCCCCAAGGAAGTTGCAGTCTAG